TAGATATTCCAAATTTTTCACAAACACACTACTCTTATATCATGTAAACTAAATAAACGAATACAATTTTTTGAATGAAGTGATAATAATGGCTCTATGTTTGAAAAAAGGTGTTTGGTCAGATCTTCATAGAAAAAAACATGAGAACAGTTATTGTATTTTGTTAATTTCCTGATATGTCTCGATTTCTGTCTAATAACCAAAACATATAAAAGACAGAAACTCAAAAACAGAAACTCGTAGAAAACACAAGAAAATTTAAAAAAAGTTAGTCCCAGTGATGCGGAAAATTAGAAAGAAGAAAGAATCTTTTGGAGTTGTTCAAACTAAAAAAAGAAGAGACATGTCACATGTGGAAAGATCAAATGAAAAGCCCAAGAGTGACGAAGGAATTCATGAATTAGGAAAAGAAAAAAGAGAAAATACAATTTAGATCTTTTGATTCTTCAGAATAATTTCAATTTCGGAAAAAGGATTATGCCTTTTTCGGATATGTTTTTGGGAAAAAAATTGGAATATAAATGAAGAAGCCAATGAAGACGTCAGAGTCGCCTCTGAGATTAAAAAGAACCATATGAGGATTCAGAACTACAGTTGTAAACATATATGAGTTTGTATAACAATGGATAATAACAATACAGAAGTTACTATGATGCTCGTAAAGGAAATTAGATCCGTAGAAGAAAAAAGCATGTGGGCGTGGCCAACGGTCCCTGTAATTAAAACCACCGGCCATCAGATGTTCACTTCCTCAGCTTCAATTTGTTTATAAGCTAATAGGGATTTTAATTACTAGTTTCTAAAAGTTATCTCTTTATGTTTGGACATTATCAATAGTTCAACTTCCAATTTTCGATGTTATCCTCCTCGAAATTCAAATATATAGAAGAGCCAACATTTATTGAAAGAAATGATACTGGGAAAAATTGGTGAAATCAGAAGAAAAATAGATAAATAGTCAGGTCTTGTGTTTGATGGAGAAAAATGTTCATTTTGGAATGCGTTTTTTTAAAAATTGGTGAACACGATATCACAAAGAAAATATTACGAAGTAGTCAAAAATTGAATTCAGACACTTTTCAAAATGATCATACTCCTACATTAATCTTGAAAACGTACTTGAACTCGCACATTTCCGCTTCAAAAACCATTAGTCTGAAACTAAAGAATTATCTAATTAGGTGTAAAGATTGAGTACATCTTTTGAAGCGAAACGAAAAGATTATAAATAGACATTGAATTCAGAGAAATATGTTATTAGAAGAAAGGAAAACTCCGAGTTTAATAACTGGATGACGTTAAGAAGAGAAGGAAATGTGTCAGAATCAGGAAGATATATATTCACAAAGGCCTAGTTTACTCCAGGTCCAGCACCTCATCGTCTTCCTCTTCTTCCAAATCAGCTGGTGGGGCTGCACAGTACTCATAAAATCTACTGAAATCTGGAGATTTTTAAAAAGATTCTAGGAGATTCCAGGAGAATTCAAAACACACATTCTGATCTTCATGAACCTCTAGAACCAGCTAAACCATTGATATACTGAAACTCACAAGGAATTCTAGTATGCCATAGCCGACGGGGCTCTAGATAAGAATCATGAATCCAGAAAATGTAAAATGCTTTCTCATAAAATCTACTAAAATCTAGAGGAATTCCTGAAAGATTCTAAGTGTCTCTAAGAGATTCTAGGGGATTCTAGGAGATTTTAGGGAATTCTAGAAGATTTTAGGAGAATTCAAAACACATATTCTGATCTTCATGAATCTCTAGAACCAGCTAAACCATTGATATACTGAAACTCACAAGGAATTCTAATATGCCATAACCGACGGGGCTCTAGATAAGAATAATGAATTCAGAAGGTGAAAAATGATTTCTCATAAAATCTACTAAAATCTAGAGGAATTCCTGAAAGATTCTAAGTGTCTCTAAGAGATTCTAGGGGATTCTAGGAGATTTTAGGGAATTCTAGAAGATTTTAGGAGAATTCAAAACACATATTCTGATCTTCATGAATCTCTAGAACCAGCTAAACCATTGATATACTGAAACTCACAAGGAATTCTAATATGCCATAACCGACGGGGCTCTAGATAAGAATAATGAATTCAGAAGGTGAAAAATGATTTCTTATAAAATCTACTAAAATCTAGAGATATTCTAAAAGATTCTAAGGGTCTCTAAGAGATTCTAAGGGATTCTAGGGGATCCTAAAAAATTCTAGAGAATTCTAGGAGATTCCAGGAGAACTCAAATCCAAAATTCCCGAAAAACACCGTTGAATTCGAAAAAAATGTTTTGGCAGGAGTCCCCCTTTAAAGTAGTCCACGGTAAAACCTCTAATAGAAGGGCCCCCTAATGTTCGCCTTCATGCCAATCTGTCTGGGTCCCTATCAAAAATATTAAAAACTTGTCAACTGATAAACGGATAATCATAATATCAGAAGTATTTCGTCAGTAAACACATTTTTGATATCTTGTATAGAAGTTGAGATAATCGAACTCAAACGGAACAGTGTGGGAGCCCTTCTATTACACGTTTTACGGAAGTTTCTCTGTTAAGCAGCTGATGCACATTCTAAAATGTAATTATCCTAAATCATTTTCAGGCGAAGCTTTTGAGCCTTTTGAACAATCTTATTCTAGAATCACTTCAACGAAAATATTCTGGAAAAAACTCCTGAAAACGACGTATTTAGGGATTTTAAAAATTAAGAAAACGGGAACAGTAATCTAAATTATTCGGTGTTTTTTGGAGTATTCACGCGAATCCACAAAAGTCATGAGCCAAAAAGAAGCCTAATAGGGATAATCCGAAGTTGTCGCGCCCCGCGGGCACGACCGCGTGATGTATTTATCCCAATGGTTCACCCGGAGCTACGTCTGCACTATTGGGACGCTATTGTAACCCAAACATGTTGAATACACCAAGGAGATGCGTCTAGACCTAAAAGCTGCCGACCGTAACCTGCGTCTCTCACCACCGCGCTCTCACCACTAACATCTATTGTATCCTAATGGGATCTCAGTGCCCAGCAGAGTGTTCAATAAACCCGTGTGAACTCAAACCTGTGTTACGTACCATCTCAATGGAAAGAGCCAAGGGTTGCTCAGCAGTCACGGTTCGCTAGGAGTGTGGGCTCATCACCCCTCAATCCCAAACCGCGACAAAAGTTGAAAATCTTTCATCCGCGTGTTGACATGACCCGACCTTGATCCCATGACATGTTCCACTGACCCCCCCCCCCTTCTCACAAGAATCGTGGATCCAGAGATACAGAGACAATCAGTCCCAACCCCAACCTTCCCCAGAGCAACCGGCTTCTCTCCTGCCGTCTCCTGATGGTGCTTCTGGAGCTCGATTGGCATAGTTCAGATCGGATGGAAGAGGATGGGTGAAGAAGTCTGATCAACTCGTAGTGAGCTCGTAGCTTCAACAGGCCGTCGTTTTGATGGAACTCGCGGGAGCTGACGAACACTTTGGACACTTTGGAGTTGGCTATGAATGGTACACTTGACAGTGTTAGAATGAAGTCGTCAGCAATGAACGCTTCATTTTATATTAATTTTCGGGCCTGAGAAGCTGGAATCACGTAGAAGACGTTCCTCAACTAACTGCCCCCGACACCTCATCTCCCACAGCGATAGGAAGTTTTCTAGACTCCTCACTAGAATAGAAAAGTTTCATTCTAATAGCAACCCCTAGAATCTCCCTTATTTTTAGAAATTCCTCTAGATTTTGGTAGATTTTATGAGAAATCATTTTACACTTTCTGGATTCATGATTCTTATCTAGAGCCCCGTCGGCTATGGCATACTAGAATTCCTTGCGAATTTCAGTATGTCAATGGTTTAGCTGGTTCTAGAGGTTCATGAAGGTTAGAATGTGTGTTTTGAGTTCTCCTAGAATCTTCTAGAATCTTTTAAGAGATCTTTTAGAAATTTTCCAGATTTTAGTAGATTTTATGAGAAATCATATCTTCACTTTTCTCATGAAGATTAAAATGTGTGTTTTGAGTTCTCCTGGAGAGATCCTAGAATCCTCTAGGATCTCTCTCGCTCAAAACACATCAAAACATTTCTGTTGCTCATTTTGACTGTCAGACATATAAAAAACAATCTGATTCTAGAAAAAAAAAAATTTATGTACTTTTAAAAATGAGCGTCCTGTATTAATCTTGAAAAAAGACATGAACTCGCTCACTTCCGCTTCAAAAGTTATTAGTCTGACCTAACGAATTCTCTAATTAGGTGTAAAGATTGAGTACATCTTTGTAAGTGAAACGAAAAAGATTATAAATAGAAATTGAATTCTAAAAAATTAGAAGAAGAGAAAACTCCGGGTTTAATAACTGGATGACGTGAATGAGAGAAGGAAATGTGTCAGAATGAGGAAGATTTTTATTAACAAAGTTTATTCCAGGTCCAGCATCTCATCGTCTTCCTCTTCTTCCAAATCAGCTGGTGGGGCTGCACAGTATTTCAGAGGGATCACGAATACCTAAAAAAATTAATTGTCTTTTTTGAACTACTTTTGTAGGTGATTGAACTTGGTTTGTGAATTCATCAAGAAATTGAAATAATAAAATTTTATAAGAATTTCTTGGTATACTCATTTTTTGCAACTTCTATAATTTTTGGAAACTCCGTCGGGACTATAGCCTTTCAAGGGACCTCTAAAGAACATCTGGATCAGTCCTCATACATAAACTACATGATTTGCTAACTATTTCCATTACTTACTGTAATGTCGTCGTAACTTGCATGTCCGCCACTATTCAGAACCCATCTCTTCAAATTCGGAGACGCCTGTTGTCCTCTTGCCGCTGCCACCAAATCTTGCGCGGCTTGTGTATATCTTGACGAATCAGCGGAATCAGTAGAACCCAAAGTGCTTCTGACAATCAACCCTGCATCTTCATTGCTCAAAACATCCCAAAGGCCGTCAGATGCGACTATCACAACATCTTTATCAGTCAGTACATTCATATCTCTCAGATGAGTTACTGTAATATCGGGAACTGCTGACAAAAATGGTTTTATGCTGAGCCTCTCGTCAACAGTCAACAAATGATGGTCCCCGAATCCTCTTGATACTCCTATCGTGTTCAGAAGACGTCGTTTTCTAGACGATTCACTGATTAGAGGAGGTCGTAGATCACATTCTTTGACCGTTTTTACAGCCCATCCATCCATGAACCAGTCTCTGAAAAGTTCATTATTTTGATTGCATCAAATTTTATGTTCTCACCTGTACAAAACTCGAGACTTCAAGTCTTTCTTTGTTAATTTTTTCGAATATTCAAGTCTAGAAAAGGAATTCCCAATTAGTTCTGGGTTACGGTATGCTAGCTCTTGTAGTCTCTTTCTTTCCGAAGCAGGTGTTAAATCTTTGGAAAGTGCTTTTGTACCATCTGATGTTACCATAACAGCTCTACAATCTCCCGCGTTTGCTGAAAAAGGTTTTTAATCCTTTTCAATATTCTCCAGCAGTAGATTAATGCGTACCTACGTAAAGTTTGCCTAAAAACACTAAAATAGATATAACTGCACATCCACCGGGTAGTCTCCAAACTTGTTTATCTTGTGAAATTTGTTCATCCATATCCAAAAATGCAGTCTCGAGAGCACCTTTAACCAAATGCTCACTTCGGATTCGAGCTTCATCTTCCTCGTTCATCTGAGACAAATTATTGAAAAACAGAAGGAGAATACAAATTGAAAACCTTGCTCATACTGTAGGAGGACTCTGAACGATGCTTTCCAAAATTCAAGTTTTCTTGACGATCCAGATGAAGAAGTGTGTCGAGAACCTCACATAAACGAGATTTCACATGTTCATGAAGGCACTTACTGGCCACAACAGCTACTGCCGAGCCAGCGTGACCATCAAAAAGACTGAACAGAGCAGCATCTGCTCGGAGAGAAAAAATGGTCGACTTTTCCTGAAAACATATTTTAAAAATGTTTTTCTCAGAACATTGTAACAGTTGTCAATATGAATTTTAAGTTACGGTATGCATTCTAGAACTTAGGAGACAATCAACAAAAACAACGTCTATATTCCTCACACTTTCATCACCTCCAGGTGTCAACATAGGATCATCATCAATCTCAGCAGAATTGCTACTTCTGGACTCTATCTTCTTTTCTTCTGAAAACCCATTCATTTCAGCACCTTGGTGTTGTGTCAAAACAAGCATTTTTGCAGATGCTTGGTCTTCATTCTGGATAGTTTTTCCTAAACAATCAGTTGATTTCTTTCTAACAATTTTTTAAGCAGTACCCGCATTTATTACTTCAGCATAACCGGCATAAAGAGGCATTCTATGCGGTAATCGAGGACAAAGGACAGGTCTGATGGTATGGTCAGAGGACAGTGTTATTTCTTCTTCGGAAAAATACAAAAACTCTGGACGAGTATAAGGATATCTTTGCTTTTCAACAATTGCTGCAACTTTATTCTTTACGAATGAATGATCTCAATGATCTTACACGGAATGAAGCCACCAATGAAAGCTCCATCGCTCACATCCATTACTTTTCCTACTTTTTGAGGATTACTATCAGAGGATGTTGATGGTTCGGATGTTGAAGTTCTCCTAACAACAGACATCACTCGCGCAGCAATATCCATCTTCAAAATGTGTTCTATTACTTAGGACCGAGAAAAACGAAAAATATCTAGCTAAATGAGACGCCTCTTCATTGACGGATGTTATATTTAAGCTTCTTTTCCATCGTTGGTTCTTATTGATTCTCCGTTATTCCCTTCTTTGTGAGAAGCGCTTCGTCCTCGGGTCGATTTACGGGCGATAGAAGGCAAGACACAGAGGCAACGAGTGCCACAGTATACGAAGCGTGGCGAGACCCGACACTGAACTGAGTCGAATTTTCAGTTATATTTCCTATTCTTTTTTTAGCGTTTTTGCTTGTTTTTTCTGCGAACTTTTTCCAAAAAATCATCTTGAAAAATTAAAATCGAACCCTGTTTCCGTTTGATATAAAATTTCCATGGTTTCGTCACGAATCGGGTCAAAATGCTGAAAATAATTATTTTAGGATTTTCAAATCGCTTTCAGTGAGAATTAAGCTTCTGAACCGTTATAGAGAAACTTTGGGCGTTTTTCAATCTCCCATTGACGTTCTGAGCAAAAAAAACATCGATATTCAATTTTAATGCCATGTCCAATGTAATTTTCTATTAAAAACCTATTTGTGAAGAAATATTTCAAGTTTGTACGAAAGGAAAGTGTTTCTTTTGGAGAAGTCGTTTTACTATATTCTTTCATCACTCTTATACGTTGCTAATCCACTAATGGTTAAAAATTATTTTTCCAGGTAAAACATGTCCCTCCGCGTTACCTACAGACGCCGTTTGTCGTACAACACCACCTCGAACAAGAAGCGTCTTGTCAAGACCCCAGGAGGACGTCTCGTTGTCCAATACATCAAGAAGAGAGGACAGATCCCAAAGTGCAGAGACACCGGAGTTAAGCTCCACGGAGTGAGTGTTTTGAATCCGGGACACTGTAAAATGGCGATTTTTTAGATCACCCCAGCTCGCCCAATCGCTCTTCGTCTTCTCAAGAGAAACGAGCGTACCGTGACCAGAGCCTACGGAGGATGCCTTTCTCCAAATGCCGTCAAGGAGCGTATCACCCGTGCTTTCCTCGTTGAGGAGCAGAAGATCGTCAACAAGGTCATCAAGCACCAGAAGGACTAAGTTCGTTCGTTTGTTGTTTCAATAAATTGTTATGAAATTTCACTTCATTGAAACAGAAATATAAGACAAAAAAGTTTGTAAGAAATATATGGATGGGTGTATGTTACAGTGAGCCTTCGTGGCTGCTAGAAGAATCAGTTTCCGATATCGATTTCGAGTATGATTTAGGTTTCTGTTCTTTTTTTAATTTCTGAAAATAAGCTTTTCGTAGTATAAGCAGATAGAGCCTACTGTCATAGCGTGTTTGACAATTGCGCTGTGCTGGTGAGGAGCAATCGTAGCTAATTCACTTTCCTTCATTTTATCAAGCGGTAGAATAACTTCTTCGAGAATCTTCAACCATTTAGCTTGCTCATGTAAATCATCATCGTCAAATACACGTGGGCAGGATCCATTCTGAAAAAGTGCTGAATTGGATATCAAGCCAGTTTGAAAACCTCAGTAACATGTAGACAAAACGGCATTTCGACAGTAGTACCCCAATCACTGCGAAGTTTCGACTTTGAAGCAAGGCGCATTGTAGCCTGGGCTCCTGCCTGAGAAATCAAGCAGGGGTGCTGATTCAGTTTGTTTCTCCTGGATTTCAGAAAATCTATTTTTTTAAATAAGTAATATGTTACTAACGAAATCAGGTCGTCCAGCCTGGATATTATTATTTTAATTTCCTGCATAAACAAAATATTCGAGATGGCCGATGTGGAGAAACAAAACGTCGGAGAATAAACTGGAAACGATACAAAGTTTTCTACAGCGAGGAATGGAGCCACATTTGGATAATCTTCGTTTCTACAAAGTGCGGTTTTCAGTTGGGTATTAAGAGGAATCGTTCTGAGTTACGAACATTATGTGGTCACGAGACATCTTGTTGTGACTATCAAAGAAGATCCGCTGCATCTCATAAGTATGAATTGCCCATCTGAGTCACCTTTTTTTCTTACCATCTCGGATTCCATCTTGTGACGCAGACAGCACACGTTGAAAATTTGGTAACATACATTTAAAGAAAAAAAATTAAAGGGAACATAATCTAATTTTCAAAAAAAAATCTTATCACAACATGATAGAACATGAATATTCACAGAAGCAAGCACCAATCAAAATGGAAAACACCGTATAGATAAAGGGAACAAGTAGAATCGGATATTATAAAAATGGCATTGACTGAAATTAGACTAGAAATATTTAAATGTTGGCCAAATGCCGCAAATTGATTATCGTTCATTCTTTTGGAAAGACTCGGCAGTTCAGCTTCGTTTCCCAATTTTTGAAAATGTCGCGTTTCCTTGGTTTGTCTGGCTTTTCTCGAGGTACGACTAGTGGATTGGAGAAACCGTTGCATGTGCAAACTTTTTCAATATTAGTGGAGCATTCTATGTGCTGGAAATGACCACATCTGGAAAATACGGAAAATTAATTGTTGTTACAAAACTATTCGCTACCGGAAAACGTATACACTTTTGTTGATTGGTTGATTACAGGTTATGCAAGTCGGATTATGCATTAATGGCGCTCGACTACTAACTTCCAGTCGTAGTTTTTGGGCCAGTACAAGATTTTCTTCTCTCTGAAAAAAGCATTTGATAGTCGAAACAGTGCGATTGATATCCTTACTATGATGTATATCATTTCTTCTAGTAAATCCGCGTCGTATTCGCATGATGAGAGTACGTCAATGATAAGATCACTACTGTCTCTGAAATTCCATTTTGCGCAGACTTATATATTCATGACCTACATAAAGTTAGAATTAGCAAACGACGGACTATCCAACAGTTTATCGAGGAGCTGAACGGCATATTTTGCTCCGGTAGACACGATTTGCTTGCACATCGTTCTCAGACTTTCGTCAATTTTCGCTTGCTTTTCCGGATTTTCTCCAACTTCCGTTGCCCGCTCAACTATGAACTGAAATACACGCATCATTCTATCCGATGTTTCGTTTTTAGATGAATGTCGCGAGCAGAATTTGATTGTTTCATCGAGCCATTCCGCTGAAAAATGTGTTTTCGTTGAATCAAGATATGAGTGTATTACTTACTCATTTTCTCTTCATTCTGCTTGTTTTTCTCAAGCTTCTCGAAAAGCAGATTGAACGATTGCTCCAAATGATTCCTGGCTTCAAATAGTCGTATTACTGTACGAACACATTTCCCATTCTCCACAGCAATGTTCAAACACAAATGAGTACTTGAAGCCAGTGGCAGCCAAAAGGGGAACAATGACATCAGTTGACGATCTATGTTCTCCGGATCTTCTGAGCTCGGTATCCAGCTGGGCCATTCTTTGCATATACCTTCAAAAACAATTCCGAAAAGCTGTTCATCTAATTCACTATCATCACAGAAAGACGCATAATTGGCCTGTTTTCTCAACTGCGCAATTCCAGCCAGAACTGGAAAAACTAATTGCTTTTCCTCCTCAACTGTCCTTGCCATCGATGGCACTGTTTCCCTGAAGTGTTCGTTGACAAGATTAGCAGATAACCATCCATCAATTCGATACAATATCTACAAAACTTCGAAATTTTTTTTCGAAATTTTTTTTTGGTTTTTACCTCCATTATACTAATTACATATCTTCTGAATTCTTCTGATTCATCGGTTGTTAATTCGCCCTCTTTCAAAATTCCTCCAATTGCAGCATAAACTTCTTTGTTTTCAGAGTCCAAATAACATTTTATCAGCTCTTCAAACTTTCTGTCTGATAGATATAGAAAACTGAGAATAGAAGGTCGCATCGGGTTCTGAGCTGCACGGATTATTCTCTTCTTGTCTTCAGGTGTTGCATGGAATAATCCAGTTAATATGGCACTTTCTGTTCCCGGTTGCTGCCATGGAGATATTTTTAGCAAAGTTATTATCGAATCTTGAATGTATTCTACGGGCGGAGCTATCAAAGCTCGCTCCGAGAGTTGCACCACGAGAGCGAGAAAGTGGATCAGTGACAATTCGCACTTCATGTTCACACAAATTTGGCCTATCTAAAAATCAAATTACAGCATTTATCAGAAAATAAAAATGTATTGCATTTCAGCTTTAAAATCAACTTACAGTATCCACAAATCTTTGGAGTCTGTTGTCCAGCTGAAATAGTTCAGCGTCAGCACAAGTGCTCACGACATTGAGAAACTGTTGTGGATCATAATGAAGTAATAATCGAAGATACGGATATTGTTCATTGGTTTCACCTCCGTTACTTTCTTTCAGAGAACTAATGCACCGAAATGTTTCCAACGGAACTCTCTTTCGATTTTCTTCATCCAGCTGCCCGAATGGATATGCCATTCCAGAGAGACAACAATTCAAATAAACCAAAACTTTACTGCCAAGAATCTGTTCGCTATCTGAGAACATTTCTCGATGTGCAAATAGATTCATCTCCGCCAGCATACTCTGAAATTAGATTCAAATGTGAGGTGTAAACGTCGAATAAAACATACTTCAAGTGGTGTGATGTAGTCGTTGAGGGCTTTGTTATTCACATATATGATTCCATCGTAAATCGAATTTTGTTGGCATATTGACATCACTGTATGTAAGTCCAATGTATGAATTGGAAAACGGACAACCGCCGACTGAAACTGTGAGAAGTGTCCTTCTGCTGCCAGATGTTGCAAATATTCGTTGACAAGTGGAGCCGGTGGACCAACCAGAGCCCCATCCAAAACGTATTCGTCAAGATGATCAAGGAAAACAGTTTTAGATATTGAATCCATACAGAGCCGATCCCAGCATGTTGTGTATAAAAAATCAAGAAGATTTCCAGTGACACACACTTTCAAAATCACTCTGATATACTTTCGATAATGAGATACCAGATCCGATATTGATCCTCCAGCAACATCTCCAACGGCTGAAGTGAGCAAACGGCTTGCTTTTTCCGCGAGAAGATTGTGCGATTCTCTTCTGAATTCCTCGCTTGCTCTAACTTTATCCCTGCATACATCCAGAAGATAAAGTGCTGCAGAAATGTCATCACCTCGTTCATTGTATCTTTCCAACTGCTCCCATTCATGAACTTTCTCTAGATATTTCAGCCCATCGTGAGCAAGCACTATAAGCCTTTCAGATGTAGATGTAGCAGATGTGACTGATTGATAACATGCGTATTCTGCTACAGCTTTAACTGCTTCGCTAACTTTTCCACCAGTCGCAGATCCTTTAAGAATGGGCGTTGAGAATACCAACTCGAGATCATCTAAATCTTGTTTCCTCGATGTTCCTTTTTCTGGGTCAATTTGCCAAACCGCTCCTTTTGCATCTATTCCTACTATCACATGAGTACTCATCCAATGGAGATTTACGATTGGGGCAGGCAATTCAAACTGTCGGAGTACTGTAGCTCTCCTCTGAAAGTTGAATAAGCTCTTTTTCTTTCGAATGGAATCGAATCTTACATTTTTCGTAAAGAAGTTATTAGTATGAATTCTGAGAATAGCTAGTTTGTGTCCTCGGCTGATGCCCACTTTGAAATCTTTTAGAGTAGTGGAATACAAAGAATCCAATGGTGAATTCACTTCGTGTTCCGATTTAGGAGAGCCCAACCAATAAGAACAAGAAGGAGGGTATCGAAACTCAAATTTGGTTGGGAATATTCCCAAAATTTGGCCTCTAGGTTTGAGAATATAGAAGATAAGTCTATGAACTGAGAGAAGAGCAATCACATCGGCAGGCATCATTTTCATAGCGATGATCTCTCCATTGCATCCTGATACGTGGCATCTCAATTTATCTTTCTTCTTCTGTAACCAGGGTTTGCTTATCGTGCATTCATAGAAGCTTCCACCGTTGTCCAGTGTTAATACAGTATGATTGTCTTTTGTATAAATCACTTGAACAATTCCTTGTCCAGGCTGTCCACCTTCATTGATCATGTGATATAATTTGTTGTCAATTGTCATGATCTGTAATTTTCTAACTCATATAATTAATGGATAATTTCATTCTACCTTAATTGCACCTCTCTGTAATCCAACTGCAAGGAACTTTCCATCCAATGAAAAAGTGACACAACTGGCTCCCCCCATCGACTCATCTCCTCGGTGGAATTGATTCAGATTTCCATTTAAATCGAACAAAAGTAATTGTCCCTTGCTGGTTACAACTGCAATCCATCCATTTCTCTCTGCAACTGCTATCACTCGTCCTGTCTTCTTCTCATTCGATAGGATTTGATGAGAAATCAATTCTGAAAATTTTCAAACTCAATTAATGACTTATTATTTTTGTACGCATACGATGAGGTTGTATAACAAAGGCTGCATCTAACTTGTATGATAACGGTTGTATATCTGCTAAAGATGTAGACGACTCAGCCAAATTCGATGATGATCCGAACTCTCCATCCAGAGCAAAAGGTTCATCCAGAAAAGGATCGCTTAGATTTTCAGTCTAGAAGTACAAAAGTCAGAGGAAATTTTAAATTATTTTATTACATCATTGAGTGCATCATCCAGGGAAAAAGTTGGAGCATTGTTTATGTCTCCCAAATCGAGCCAGTCTTCTTTTTCTAATGAGCCGAATGTGCTCATGAACCCGACTATAATATTAAACTCGTAAAAGAAGTTCGATTATAACTGGTATGGTTCTCCTTTGGATATATAACCCATTAGATTCGAATGAGTTTTCAATAAAATAAATAATTTATTTAACAAGAAAAACCGGCAAAAACATAGAAACAGAAAGAGTCATTCATATCATAGGAATTCCTGAAACACAATAAAATCACCCAGTTGGTTACGAATAATTCCGATTTAAATAAAAACAATGATTAGAACAGATAGCCCGCCGATGACAAATGAGAATATTTAGAAGAAAGCAGAAACTGAACGGAATTGATAAAACTATTGGTTTTTATCACATTTTTGAAAAAAGTGGCACTTTGGTGAATCTTGAGGTTAATAGGTGCAGACAGATAAAAAGGGAAATGATTACATCGAATTCACATAATGATATCCTTTGAAGGAACATTCACAGCTATAACTTTGTGTGGCAAGACACTCGCTTCATTGAGATAGACTTCGTCTTTCACAACCTGTAAACAATATTGAGAAGAGTGCTTCACTGATTAAGTTCAATTTACCACATCATCTCCAAGAACACATACGTTCTCCATACGGACCCAACTTCCAATATGACACTCACGTCCTATAATGCTTCCTGAGACCCACGAATAGTTGCCTACGGTCTGAAAAGAGTTAATTTTGTCTTCCGCTCATGCCTAATAAGTTTTACCGAATCCGATAAAATAGTGGAATGTTGAATGCGAACACCTCCTTCAATCTGAACTCTTGGGCCAATGACAACATCGGGACCAATAACACAGTTCTCACCAACAGTTGCAGATGGGTCTACTGAAAACCAGAAGCATTTGCAAATCACCGAAAATCTTATTACTTACCTAAGACACTACCACGAATCGTGGCTGTTCCGTGAATATTTGACCCAGTAGCTAATGCTCCCGTCCTTGTTGTTTGCACATGGTTCAAAAACAGAGACATTCCCTTGAGGAAGTCTTTTGGTTGTCCTACATCCATCCAGAATCCAGGCAGTACGTAGGCATAGAGATTACCTGAAGTCGCCATTTGAGGGAAGATTTCTTTTTCGATACTTGTAGGTTTCAGGGGAATTCGATCGAGAATTGCAGAGTTGAAAATATAGAGGCCGGCGTTGATTTTGTTTCCAACGTACTCCTGTGGTTTCTCAACGAAGTCATCAATTTTTCCATCTTCTTTGAAAACAACGACTCCATATTTAGATGGTTCTTCCACCTTTGTTACTGCAATCGTTCCCTCTTTTCCATGTTGCTTATGAAATTCAACCATTTGCTTGAATGGGAAATCACAAATAACATCACTGTTAAGAACGAAAAATGGATCATCGTCCTCTAGATGTTTTCGAGCCAAAGCCAGAGGTCCAGCAGTTCCGAGCGGTTCTTCTTCAAGAGAAAAAATCAGCTTAACTCCAAGCCGATCTGCGTGCACAGTCATTTCCGCCTCCAACTGTTCTGCTCTGTAGCTAACTGCTAAAACAACTGTATCGACTCCAACCGCAGCTAGAGCTTCCATCTGATGCAACATCATAGGCTTGTTGGCGAATTCAACGAGTGGTTTGGGCTGTGTTAGTGTGAGCGGTCTCAGCCGAGTTCCATATCCTCCAACTAGAATGAGCGCTTTCATTTCTGTAAGCGTTTGATGGTCTGAAAATCAGAATATATAATAAATGAGCCTGAAAATTCGAAAACGCGAGAAATAGAGTGAGTCGATGAAACATGAGAGTAATTGATAGTGTGTATACAACTGGAGAGTGGAGTGAGTGGAAGACTGACGTGGCGTTTATTGTTTGGCTGCATTGCTAGTTTTGAATAAATAAGATGTTTCTAATGATTCGCGATGAAAGCTACACACAACGTTTGAAAAGACACACAATGATAAACGCATGATTCTGGCTGATATAGGTCATTTAACACGGTATCGTTATTCGGAGAAAGGCTAAAAGACAGTAAGAGAAGAAAGAACGATTCTGACACCCGTGTTTCCCATTGTTGGGTTTTATTGAAATTTTCTATTGGCAAAAACTTTTAGAAAACCGCCGGGAAAGAGAAATTGACTTATTGTACCAATCATGGTATCATGCTTCTTGATTCCACGTTGCACAGCGATGCAAATTTTTGTTTAAGTTCCGGTGGAGCGCGTTTCTGGATTTCAACAGCACATGAGTAATTTGAGAACAGAAACGGATGAAAATTTCGCAAATGAAAATAAAAAGTTTTTATTGTTTAGCTACAGTACGTTTTGTTCAAGGTACACTGTCGAAAAACACAAGAACTCCTGGCCGGAGTGTATTTCTCCGGCCGTGTACTCCTCTCGGAGTGCCTTTCTGTCATCGTCCACAAAACCGAAATCTGTTCGTCTAAAAAATGCCCGAGAACGAAGAATATGCTCGAATCATTCCATTCAACAACGATGAAAGCGAGTTGACTATATTCCAAGTAATTCTATCTCACCTGATCCGATTACAAGTGTCCTATCAAATGTTTTCAGGAGACAGTAACTGATGTCGGCGGTGTTATTTGGGATAGCGCACTGATGACAATTCATTATTTTTTTAAACATCCTGCAAAGTTTGAAGGCAAGAAAGTGAATAAATTCCTATAAAGTTGGCTAGAAATTCGAAAATTCTAGGTATTGGAACTAGGAAGTGGGACTGGAGTCTGCGGAATCGCTCTTGCCGCCCTAGGAGCCGATGTAATTATAACGGATCTTCCCGAACGAATTCCTTTACTTGAGAAAAACTTGGCGGCTAATAAGCATTTGACCGGTAATCGCATCAAGGTTGAAGTACTGGATTGGATGACAGACAAAACCCCCGATGGCCTCGATTTGGTTCTAGCTGTGGATTGTGTGTACTACAATAGTACTATAACACCACTTATAGATCTCCTGAAAAACTGCGATGCCAAGGAAATCATTGTTGTGAGCGAAGAAAGGGATATTGGAGAAGCATCTGTCGCACAGAAGACATTTTTCAAGAATATCACAGAGTTCTTCCAACTGGTTCCTATTTCTCAAAAGGAACTCGATCCTGATTACTGTGCAAACGACATAATTATTCGAAAACTGATAAGAAATATCTAGCCATTATAACACAAATGTATTTTATATTTGAACAATGATAAATGTTTTTGTTTTCCAGTCACAGTTGGTACAATGATTCCTTGAACAGAATGGTTGTAAACACCATTTGAATACCTTTTTCTCTTCATCTGTTCAATTAATTTTTTTCTCAGAAGATACAAAAAACTTTCACTTAGGTTTCGCTTCCTTTTTATAGAGAATGGCACCTCCTCATCCGAGAGACCCTTCGACAGCTTCCAACTATGAACAAGTGAGTGCTTCATATAAAAAAAATGGAACGCAAGAGAAACTTCAGGTGGTCGTTTCGCACTACTCCTTGAAATGGAAAGTTGACTTTGAAAAGAAACATATCTCTGGAGACGTGCAAATGAATTTAAAAGTAAATCAGAATTCTTCTGAAATTGTGTTGGATACCCGCGAACTTGTGGTTCAATCCGTATCTCTGAAATTGAACGGGGAAAAAGTCCAAGCGGAATATGCTTTGAAGGATAATGGAGCTCTAGGACAAAAGTTGGTCGTATCCAATGTATCTCTGAAAACAGGAGATACTCCAGTGCTAGAAATCAAGTATGAAACAAGTAACAACGCTGCTGCACTTCAATTTTTGACATCGGATCAAACTACCGACAAAGTTGTGAGTTTTTCGAAACCCTCACTTAGAGTAAAAATAGGGGAATTTCTATTCAGGCTCCATATCTTTTCTCCCAATGTCAAGCCATCAACGCTCGTTCAATTGTTCCATGCATGGATACTCCTTCTGTGAAAAGTACATATGACGCTGAAGTTTGTGTTCCGCTTGGTTTAACCTGCCTAATGTCAGCAATTGGACAAGGATCAAAACAATCAGAATGCGGGAAGCGAACTATGTTTTCTTTCAAGCAGCCAGTTGCTATTCCGTCTTACCTTCTTGCTATCGTTGTTGGCCACCTGGAACAAAAAGTGATTAGTGAGAGATGTGCAGTGTGGGCGGAGCCTTCTCAAGCCGAAGCATCGTATTACGAGTTCGCTGAAACGGAGAAGATTCTGAAAGTCGCTGAAGAAGTTGCTGGACCATATGTTTGGGGAAGATATGATTTGGTTGTACTTCCTGCAACATTCCCGTTCGGTGGAATGGAAAATCCATGCTTGACCTTCATCACCCCCACTCTTCTTGCTGGTGATCGTAGTCTGGTCAACGTTATTGCTCATGAAATTTCTCACAGTTGGACCGGTAATCTTGTCACAAATTTCTCTTGGGAACACTTCTGGCTCAACGAAGGCTTTACTGTTTTTCTGGAGAGAAAAATTCATGGAAAGATGTATGGAGAACTTGAGAGACAGTTTGAGAGTGAAAGCGGATTTGAAGAAGCTCTTGTGCGAACTGTAAACGACGTTTTTGGGCCAGACCATGAGTACACGAAACTCGTTCAAAACCTGGGAGATGCAGATCCAGATGATGCATTTTCGTCAGTACCATACGAGAAAGGATCAGCTTTTCTTTTCACAATCGAACAAGCACTAGGGGATAATGCTCGTTTTGAAGAGTTCCTCAGGAACTACATTCAAAAGTACGTTTATAAAACAGTGTCTACAGACGAATGGAAAGAATATCTGTACGAGTCGTTCTCTGACAAGAAAGTTATCCTTGACAATATCGATTGGAATTTGTGGTTGCACAAGGCTGGTCTTCCACCAAAGCCAAAATATGACTCTACTTTAATGAAAGCATGCAAGGAGCTCGCTGCCAAATGGACTACAGAAGGCTCGGAAGCACCAACGGATGGAGAGAGCTTCGTGAAAATGTCGAACTCTCAGAAGCTTGCCGTCATTGACGCTATTCGCGTAAACAAAAATTCCTTTGGAGATCGTATGCCAGCTTTGACTGCTACATACAAGTTGGATCAAGCGAAGAATGCGGAACTCAAATTTTCATGGCTCATGCTGGGACTTGAGACGAAGTGGACTCCTATTATTGATGCAAGTCTAGCTTTTGCTCTGGCCGTTGGAAGAATGAAATATTGCAAGCCGATCTATAGGTGAAATATTTTTAATTTGAATTATCTTATATTTCCGTTTCAGATCACTGTTTGGATGGAGCGCAACCCGTGATCGAGCTATTTCTCAGTTCAAATCAAACATTCCGAACATGCATCCAATCACTGTCAAAGCGATTCAAAGTTTGCTGAAGTAATTTTAATCAAAGTCTATTTACTTCTGTGTTTTATTTCTTCAAAACATAATACATGTCGTCAATGTTCACTATTTCTAAATGAAAATATTTATTCTTAAAAGCTCAAAAATCCTGAAACTATTCACCCGATTATTTTTCTTCCCGAATTTTTCGCAGATCGTACTCGGACCAGTCATACTTGCACTTGTATGGCATGAAACGTTCCGGAACACCCTTCAGCCTTAACAACCGCATTTCTTTCCATTTTTCGTAGTCTTTCTGGGAATCTCTGAAAAACTTTGATTCATTGGAACTGAACGAGAGAAAATCTCACCGAACACTGAGGACAACAGCACAAGGGATAGAAGCCATGCTAAGAGCGTAGGCTAACTTTGCTCGTCCTGAAATACCATATACGAACATATTGGTGAGGACGAAAGTTGCGAACATTGAGATTCCGGTTTGCGTGAATCCAGGATCTGGGTTCTGAAAGTCAAGTTGTTTTTTTGCGAGTCATGGAAAACAACCTTAAAAAGTCCGAACATTTTCGAATTCTGAAGAGGAGGATTTTCCTCGTCGGTTGTGGTGCTCATTTCCTGAAAACCATATATAAAAATCCAAAAATAATTTTTATACTTATTTATCAAAAAAAAAGCTTTTGAGCACAAAAACTCCTTGGCGAAGTACGCAAGCATTTGATTTTACGACAACACGCAGATTTCATCAAAAATTATTTTTTTTGAACTGTGGATTTTTGAAATGTTTCCGTTTTATACCAATTAGTGATTTTTTTGTTCTAACATTCTACTGATACTTTCTCTGCTAACCTATGCTTTGTTGAAACCGTCTCTACCAGCACAATGATGAATCCAACTGCAAGCTTCTTCTGCTCATCTGTTTACCATTTTAAAAATAGAAATTGCCGGCTCTAATCAGAGTCATTCCTGAATCATGCGACCCTCTTTTGTTTCCTGACTCATCTTCTTTCTATATAATATAATCTTGTCACAAACAAAACCAAGAAACTCTACTAGACACCGCACCAATGTCAGCATCAACATCGAACTATGTCAAATTTGGCGCCATCTTCAGTATCTACGTGGCATACGTTGTGTTCCGTCGACTCCCCATGGTCTTCCTCTCTGAGATTCGAAAGGAAATTCCAATAACAAATGACGATATAGGTTGGTTTCGCAGTTGAAAAAGCGCATTGAATACTGAAAGGCCCCGGAATGTTCGGTTGTTTTCGTTGTACGTTCATTCTCTTTTCTATTCTGTTCTCATTCGTATTTGTCTTTTCATCACCTTAATTACCGTTCTTGTTCTCTGGTGAAGCAGTTTCCTATTTTTTGATCTGCTACGAATGCGAACTCAACTATGGTCGGTTACCATCCGGAGGCTATAAATGAGCCGCTCACCTCCGCCGAATATAGTGAGGCTGGACTTGCCAGTGGAATTGTAACTCGGATGATTATTCAGCCACTCGATGTCCTTAAAATTAGATTTCAACTCCAGGAGGAGCCGATTCGTGGCAGAAAGTCGGGAAAATATAAGGTATGAAGCTAGCAATAATTGAATTCGTATCCACTTATTTACAGGGGGTCATGCAGTCGGTGTTTCTAATTACACGAGAGGAAGGCGCGAAAGCGTTTTGGAAAGGACATATACCAGCACAGGGATTATCTGCAACATATGGTCTGGTTCAATTTTCATCTTTCGAATGGCTTTCACGACAAGCAGCGAAAATTGTTCCGTCCGACGATCAAAGCATCCGATCTACATCTGATTTCATGTGCGGAGCTCTTAGCGGATGCCTTGCAATGACAGCTGTGAGTTGAGTTTTTATTGAATAGGAACATTCTGAAATTATTACAGGCAATGCCATTAGACGTAATTCGAACTAGATTAGTTGCGCAAAAATCTGGACATGCAGTATATACTGGAACTATGCACGCAGTGAAACACATCTGGGAGAAGGAAGGGATACCTGGATATTTCCGGGGTTGGATTCCCAGTGTTGTGCAAATCGCCCCATTCACGGGAATGCAGTTCGCCCTTTATAACTGTTTCATGGATCTTTGGCCTTTCACAGGATATGAATCAACTGGTGCTCTTTTAAGTGGAGCAATGGCCGGAACTGTTGCTAAAACGGTGAGTGAAACACGAAAATGATTCATTTTTGAATTCAACGTTGTTCCAGGTACTCTATCCCTTGGATATGGTCCGGCATCGATTACAAATGAACGGATTCGAAAGAGCGGGTTTCGGAAAAACGAGTAACTACAGTCAAGGCCTTTTCAAAACGATTGTGATGGTAGTGAAACATGAGAGTTGGTATGGACTCTTCAAAGGATTATGGCCTAGTCAAATAAAAGCAGCAGCAAACTCAGGATGTGCATTTCTTTTCTATGAAATGTTCTGCGATCTTATCAGACGTAACAAGTATTCAGACGAATAGGTAGAAATTTCAGGAGACTAGCTGGTTAGATTAGGATATAATACTTTAATAATCTTGTTTTTTTCCTGTTTCTAATTTCTTTTTTAACATTGTCAATATGTGTGTGCCTTTGCTTTTGACCCGAATTACAGGTTGTATCTATGAATCCGTATATGATTGCCAAGTTTCCTGTTCTAGTTTTGTTTCTAATCTTTTTTATACATTGAGCTCAATAAATTCACAATGATTTCTCTGGGGCCTTTCAATCTATGCGAGTTTCATTTAGGTCTCTAGAAACTATAGAATGCGAACATTCAGGTAGAATAGTTTCAATTCATGCTGCGTCTTGCACTGTCAGCAAGCTTGTTTTTGGAACTGCAGCTGATCGAACATCGAGCTCTCGACTTTTTATAGGAGGTGTTCTGTTATGCTGTACTTCATCAATATGTCTAGGTGAGACTTCTTTGAAAACACGTATATAAAAGTTGCATTTAGCATTTGCGAGTGCTGTATGGCAAATTGAACTTGTTATGGCTATGATTGGAGGTGTCCAAGGCGCTGGATGGGTACCAGCAACTAAATTGATAGCATCGGTGAGTAATATCAATTCAAATTTAATTCAATTTCTTGAAGTTTTCAGTGGTTCGATGATTCTTCATACGCTACAATGTTCTCTCTTCTTGGCTGTGGAAGTACATTTGCAGGAATGATACTTCCACTTTCAAAATCGTTTTATTGGAGAACACTTGAATTCAACACTGGCTTTTTGGTACTTGTATCCGCTTTAACTTGCAAGAAATGGATAATAACTGAAGACGCAATAAGGAAAGAAGTAAAGCCAATCAAGAAAAGTGAATTGGAAGAAGGCGATGCGACTAAACTTACTTCGATTGTGAAGAGTCCGGTTATCTGGCATATTGCGATTGTCTACTTCTTCTCGATGGAATTAAGAACTATATGCGAAACATGGGCTCCACTGTATCTAACTGAGAAAAACATTTCTCCAACCACATTCCAATTTCTTTATGAACTGGGTGGACTCATTGGAATAGTGACAAGTGGAGTGATGCTGGATAAACTTGGAGAAAAGTTTGGGGTCGACCCATCCAGAAGGATTCTTGGAGTGATATACACTACACTAATGTTACTTGTGGCAATCGGAGTTTTTGAATTCGAAAAGTCTTCAACGATTATTAGTTTCTTCACTGGTTTCTTCGTTAATGGATCATTCAACATATGGTGTCTTATTGGATCACAGGCTGGAACACGAACTGTAGCAGGAACATGTTCTGCTTTTATCAGTTTCATTGCCTCAGGTATTTCGTCGATATATCCAAAATCATGCTCTAATTTTGTGATATTTCAGTTGGTGCCATATTCGCTGGATCACCTCTCGCGTATCTCATTGATATATTCTCATATCAGGTGTTTACAGTGATCTTCGTCACTCAAGCTATTTTGATTCTCTCCATTTCCACTCTACGAATTCCCCTGCGGATGACGACAGAAAAGAGGAAATCAGACTAGAATTCTACTGCATCTACTTATTTCTTAAAGTTTCATACTTTTCATAAAGTTTGTCATTGCCATTTGAATTTTTTCTCAATTTCAGGTGGATTTTTCTCTTGAAATATATATTCAGTTGTTTTTCTTTGAAGCCAAACTTTCCTTGAGCAAGTATAATGAAACATACTCAAATGTGTGCATCGCATATTTTCGTTGTGAAACCGAGTGTAAGAAGAAGACAACGATGACGTAGGCGCGCTTAGACCTCTGCTAGTGGTGCACCAACCCTCTTTTCCTGCGTCGATATTCACCAATTGTGCGGCTGCGTATATCGAGTAATGACGGCGTTGAGACGCGTCGTGTTGCTCTCGAGGGGAAAACCTCAATCCAATTCCTCATTTACATTATCAGTTTTCAGAAATGTTGACCGAACTGGCGTTCGGCCTTCTCGCTGCTTGGATTATCATATTCAGTCAAGCACTTCACAAAATCGACGAAGGACATGTTGGCGTCTATTATCGAGTAAGTTAATCCAAAATCTTTCTAAAATCGATTTTTAGAATTTGTATTTCTGACTTTATCAGTCTCATAACATTTTTTAGGGTGGAGCTCTGCTTAAATCCGTGTCAGGACCTGGATACCATTTACATGTTCCATTATTGACCACTGTAAAATCGGTCCAAGTGACCCTTCAAACCGACGAGGCAACAAACGTCCCTTGCGGAACATCCGGAGGAGTTATGATCTATTTCGACCGCATTGAGGTCGTGAACATCTTATCTCAAGACAGCGGTAGGTTCTTCAATTTTCATATTTTGAATGTTTTTATAGTTACAGTAGGTTCAAAAACAAATTATTATTTTTCAGTATATGCCATCGTGAAGAATTACACCGTTGAATACGACCGCCCCCTGATCTTCAACAAAGTACATCACGAAGTTAATCAATTCTGCAGTAGTCACACCCTTCAAGAAGTCTACATTGATCTATTCGGTGAATATAAATTTGCTTCTTATAATTTACATTCCTTTTTTCTAGATAAAATTGATGAGGAAATCAAAAACGCTCTCCAAATTGACCTTCTGAAAATGGCTCCAGGACTCTTTGTTCAAGCAGTGCGAGTGACCAAACCAAAAATCCCAGAAGCTATCCGTTTGAATTATGAAATGATGGAAGCTGAGAAAACGAAACTTCTCGTTGCACACCAAACTCAGAAAGTCGTGGAGAAACTCGCAGAAACCGAGAGAAAGAAAGCGGTTATTGAGGCTGAAAAAATTGCACAGGTTGCCTTGATCCACCAAAAACAAATGATTACGGAGAAAGAAACTCAAAAGTTGTTGAATCAGTTGGAAGCAGAGAGTAACTTGGGTGAGATAAACAGCTTTTAACGTTCGTGCTAAATAACTGAAAAAAATTTTCCAGCCACCGAAAAATCCAAAGCCAATGCGGAGTTCTACAAAGCCGAAAAGCAAGCTGCTTCAAACAAAATCCTTCTCACAAAGTATGTATTAAAACTTCAAATTCTTTCAAAAATCCATTATTTACAGAGAGTATCTGGAATTGCAGAAGATTCAAGCCATCGCTGCCAACAACAAAATCTTCTATGGAGACAGTATTCCTCAAGCTTTCGTTTTGGGAAACACTCCAGCAAATGATTAAAATAAACTGCATTATCTCGTTGACATGCTCTCTATTTTTCTCGGGTGCTTCATACTCTTGTCAAATTAATTAACCTCCAACTGCCCAATTGTCGTTCTATGTCTTTATTGTATTATTATCACAGCATTTGAAAAAGTTTTTGATAAACTTTGCAACCTCACATTGACCTTCCTTTTGCTGCTTTCATTTAGAAAACCACAAGAATCTCTCTTCATTTTCGTAAGTTCAAACTGGAAAAGTTCTGAAATACTCGATTAGATATGAAAAGAATTAGTGATTGTAATGGTAGGTCATCAAGACATTCAAATTTCAAGAATCTGTATCTGAAGAAGTGTCGACTCCCGGGAAGCAGTACATCCTGACAAGCAACATGAGCAATCGTGAAAGTCTCGACGAAAGTTTAATTATGGATTACGAGTAGGGTGGTGTTGAGAAATTATATTCCAAATTTCTCTTTCAGCCAAGTCTCCGAAAACTATAATTTCGTGACGAAAGCATTGTCGAGACTCAAAAGATCTTCCAAAAATGAGAACATGGTACTAAACAAACTAAAAAAAAACTTAATTAGGTTTTTTTCTTAGAAGACATCATATGTTATCACTTCTACTATGAATGCGGAGAAGTCTCTGGCAGGAATCTTCGAGGAGTACGGTAATTTTCCGCTTCCAGATTGGATGACAGCTGCAATCATTCGGGGTTATTCAAGCCTGAAAAAACAAAAACATTTTTTTTTGTTTTTCAGATGTTTCGAATGCGCTAATCCAGCTTCACAGTAATCAAATTGTTCACGGAGCTGTTACTATTGACAAAGTTTTCAAAATGAAAGACGACTTCTCCTTCTGCATACTGACTAGCAGATCGCATGCCAGAAAAATGGATGCCCATAAGTTGTTTGTTTTCCTAATTTCTAAAAATCGATGAATCCGATAGGCAGAAAATAGACAAATCAAGTGATTAAAAACTAATTCAAAAATATGAAAAATATTATTTTTTGAGCGAAACCGTAAGATTTTTAAAGGCGCGCCACAGAAATGCATCTTCGTTACATGACTAACAGTAATTTGCAGTTGGTGCGCCTTTAAAGAGCTCTTACTGTATTTTATGTGGCACGAAAAGCTTGACACACTTTTTGAATTTTCAAATTCTTCTTTTCCGTGATGCATTTTTTGAGTAAAAGGTTTTTTAGATGGTTTTGTCTTCACTGAGACTCCGATTCATTCGGATTGATATATGAAAAACAGTTTTTAACCAAAAAAAAGAAAACTGTGTTGTTTATTGCCCATGAAAAGCGTCGTAAACCTTTGCGATGATTCATGTCTTGTTTTTGCTGAGAATTGTGTTTCAGGATGGAGTCTCGTGCTGAAGACACTTCACAGCTAGGGAATGTACTTTTTCGGTGCTTAACTGGCTATGAGTTTGGTTCTGGTAATCCAGCTGGCTCTCCTTTCACGATTTCTAGCGACGGAATAATTCTTGCTGAAAAAATGATGGCTCGCAAGTTTAGCGAATCGGTTCAATTCATTGTGAATCATCCTTTCATCACTGATAATGCCAAGACTTCAACAGCTCGTTTCCTAAACTTGAACTCTCATTGATGTTTATATCTTTTATATTCGAATGAATCGTATTCGTAAAAATTTCTGTGATCAACCTTTTTCAGAAATGTCATCAGAACAACATGAAATGGCCGATTTCCGCCGAGTTGGATCACTTGAACAAGAAGTGCATGAAACTCCACCTCTGAACGATGCAATGCTCAATTCGGCGCAAGATATAGATGTTCTAGATCGTCCGCCAACACCTCAAAGAACACCACGATCATCAAACGCAGGCATAAAATCCAATTACGATTATGATGATCAAAAATGGGATAGGTGGTTCGTGTTAATAATGTTCGCTATTCTGAACTTTTCGAACATCGCCTCATGGCATTGCATCCGCGTCCGTTGGAAACTATGTCAATGCTTATTCTCGAGGAAACACTTCAACTTGGTAAAGCAAAATTCAACTTTATTGAAAAAAAATGATTGCTCGTATTACAGGCTTTCTGCCGTCTACATGCTTATTTCCATTCCAATTGGATTTTGGGGAATGTGGCTCGGCGGCATCGCTGGAGTCAGAGGCTCCCTATTAATCGCTGCATTCGCGAATGTTCGTGGCGCATTAATTCGTACATCATCCGGATGGTCTTTCAATGGAAACGACCGTGGTTCCTTTGTCCTGATTGGTCAGGGATTTGCTGCAGTCTCATATCCGTTCCTCATGTATCTTCCATCAACCATCTCAAATACATATTTCCCTCGCGATCAAAGAACAATTGCCACCACGATTGGTTTTTCTGTGGAATCCACTTGGAATCTTGATGGCCAATCTCATCTCGCCTCTGATAGTTCAATCATCTCAAGATGTTGTTATGCTAAACCTAGTATTGCTCGGTATTTGCGTGATAGGAAGTGGAGGAGCTACTGTGAGTTCATTGATACAAATTTAGTTAACTTCTAGAGTTTTTTTTTTCAGTTCGCAGCCGCAGCAAAGAAGTTGACGGCAATGATCATATGGGATCCAAAGTCACCTATCATGAAAGCATCAAGGCTTGTTTCAAAAACCCAACATATGTAATATTGTTTTTCTCTCTTGGTGGAGGAATTGGAATGTTCAACAGCCTTTACGCAAAAATGTTTGATATGCTCTGCCCAGTTGGTCGTGGAAACTTGATGGCTGGACTCTGTGTTGTAGTCATGATCACAAGTGGAGTTATCGGATCTGTAGCGGTCGGATTCGTGATTGACAGGAAAAAGTGTTATCGAGAGGCCGTGATGGCTCTGATGTGCGGAGCTGTTATTTCCGGAATCGCCTTTATTTGGCTCACCAATCTTGAAGGAAAAATTGTTGGATTCCTGCTTATCGTCTTCGCCTGTACTCTCGGTGCATGTGGTCTTGCCGCATATCCTGTTGGACTGGAGTTAGCATTAGAGGCTACGTATCCGGTTGCTTCTGAGGTAGCTTCCGGATTAATCGTTATTTTCGGACAATTATTCGGCCTTTTTTTCATCCTGATCTTACAAAATTTCTCTAAAATCATCGGAGAAGACGATACTCATATTTCGAGCATCCAGGTATGCGGAACTTCAGCAACAGAACCACACAGCCCGACCAACTCGCCCAAAAAGTATACCGCTGCGTTTGTCGTAAGTTTCTTGCATTACTTGGAAATTCACGTTTTTATTGCTTTCAGATTATTATCGGCATCGCTATGATGTTTGCTACTCTTACTGTCTTCATTCAGCCAGAGTACAAACGATCAGCGGTAGAAGGAGTCTACCGAAAACAAGGAAAACAAGTTCATTATGGACCAGATGAGTCTAATCCACGAGTAGATGTGAACTCAGTTCACAAGATTACCCCAGAAGCAGAGGAAAGACAACGAATTAATGCTGCTGCTAAAATACGACAAGAACTGTATGCAGCAAAAATCAGAGAGGAAAATGTGGAGTGTGTTACACCGAAAAGCCACAGTGAAGCTTCCACTCCAGCGAACTAATGAAACAGGAATACTCTCTTCTTAAAATGTTATATCTGTTTTTTCAGAATTCTGTCAACATTTCATATTCTTATATTTCAATTGTTTTTATTTTACTAAATAAATTAACATAATCGAAATAATATAACATAAATAGATCTAATTAGAGCTAGAAAATACCAGTAGGAAAAAAGTTTGAATCGAACGACAACTGCAGATGGATCATGCCAACTTTCTACAAATTTCTGTATAAAGTGGTCTCACTAACTCCATTCCATGAGCAGAGAGATGGTTTATTCCGGTGAAGTAAAGGAATCCTGTGCTATCGAAAAACTCGAATCTATTTGTGGTTTTATTGAAGAGCAAGGGTTCGTAATCAATCATTTCACACTTTGATCCACATTCCTTCACAATAGATTCAGTTCGATAACGAGCTAATTTGTAGGTGTCCAATTGAACGATTTCTTTCTGAAATAATGAATTGAAGGGGCATTTCAACCTTTTTTTTGCATTGAAATGTTTGAAAAGTTTTGTATGTTCCTATCCTTTTCCGGAAAATTTCGAAAAAAAATCCGAAATTCCCGAAATTTTTCTAAAAAAGCTGGCGAATAGGGACGGTGATTTGAG